CAAAGTTTGATTTTACAAAGGTAGAAATTCAATACAGAAGGATCCGTACGTCGGATTCTTGATCTATCAGTTACTATGGTCCTCAAATATTACGTACTATTACATATTAAAGTTTGTTAACGATCCAATGGTCGAATCATCGATTCATATTTTGATCAAGTAATGTATCATAGTGAAATTATGTTCAAACGATCAATCCACGTCATACGAATATCAAATACAAAGTCAGGACATCTAATTGAACTTAGAAAGTCATTGTTGGCCCACTGGCCACGTGCCGCCGCAGGTGGTGGTCGGCCACCCTAACTCGCTGGAAAATTCAACTATTTTCAAAAATTACGAAATTTTACAGGCAAGTAGATCTCAGTGAGGGAAACAATTTTCATTCCTGTCACCAAGGCCAATTTTCCCGGGAAACACCTCGATTTTACACAAACCTGCCGGAACCCTAGAAAAGGGTGTGCTTCGATTCGGATTCCATACAAGCTCCGATGTCTCCACCACCACTTGAGCTTTGTTCCTGGGGTTGAGAGGAGTCCTTTGGTGGTGGTCATCGACGGTGAAGCTTGCCGGAGCCACCGGAAAAAGGATAAAACCGTCCGGACACCCGTGGGTTTGTGGCTTCGAACTGAAAAAAATAGGAAACATATTGAGAAATATAACACTACAGAGATGTAGGTCTCGTCAAGAGCTTTCCATGGACACCAAGATCACCCAAAACGGAGTTCTTATGAAGGAGATATGAGCGGTTCAATTTTAAAGGTTCGCGAGTCAAATTCCCCCTCCTTTCCTCCTTTCTGATTGGCTGTCCCCCCCTCTTTCTCTCCTGCACTCTCTCCCTTCTCCCCTCTCCCTTGCTGCCACTTGGCAGCTTCTAAACATTTAATTATTTATTTTCCAACAACTAAAACGTCTCTAACTTCTTCGTTATAGATCTGTTTTACGAACGGTTTGCGCCTACGCGTTCGTGAGATTGAGCTCTATCCAAAGATATAAATTATGACCTCAAACGGTCTACAAATTTTAAATAATTAATTTTCAAACTCTAAACTTCGCAACTAGTTTAATTAAAGTATAACTTCAAATAACTTAATATAAATTCTTGAAAAATAATATAAAATCTCAAGAATACAAACATGTACATTATAACAGTGAAATCTGGGTACGAGATTTCATAAAATTCGTCAGATTTCTAAGGGAAAAAGGGATCAGGTTATTTGCATTGTTTTAAGGCTTCTAGAATCAGATATTAGGTATTCTAATGTGATAAGGAGTCCCCCTTGCAGCTGGAATTAAGGTAGAATAGGATTAGGATAGGATAAGATAAGATAAGGTTAGATTGGATAATGTTGGATAAGATAAGGTTGGTTAAGATAATGTTCCTTCCTTTTAGCTGATTCCTTATCTTCTTTGTCTTGAGTTTATTTTCTTCATCTCTTCAGCATATTCCTAGCCTCTTGAACTTCAAAAACGTCCATCCATCTTGCTCCATGCATGTGCTATCCATTCTTGGCCCAAAACTGCTCCAAAATGTACTTTCTTGCCAACTTTGTCATTTGAACCTGAAAACACACGAAAATAGTTTAAAACACTCTAATAAGTAGAAACTAGCTATGTAAATGCAAGAAAACAAGCTAACTAAGTCACATAAATATGCTCCTATCAGCACCACCTTGCTAAAAGTAGACTTTATGTTTTTTTTTTATGTACGTATTGTTCATCTTTTGTTTTGGATTGGTATAAAAAATATACGAGCATGGCTTTAATGTCACAAGTAGATGTTATGTTTCCATATGTAAGTGCTGTTCGTATTTTTCTTTGCTTGATATATTAAAACATACTATAATTTGGTAATGCCACCATCACCTTACAAGTTGACTCTATGTTTTTTCTAATGTCATATTGTTCATCTTTTGTTTTGGATCAATGTATTAAAATATAGAAGCATTTTTGGTCATGACAGTTTTGAAAAATGTGACCTACTCCGTACAATTAAACATTAACATTATTTTTGTTACACATTTATCAAACATGTTTAAAAATCTTTAGGAGCACACTGCGCGCCTATGACAAATAAAAGGCATTTTGCACATGCGTAAACGCGTGTAGAAAGACTAGTAGAAATAATATGGGGTAATTAAGTTTATGCTGACTTGGGATATTGAGTCAAGTGAGTTGTAAGGACTAGAATGAAATTAAAAAAAATAAATAAAGAAAGATAAAAGGGAAAGTTTATTTAAACCCATGTTAACTCTTTTTACACCCAATTTAAATTTTAAATGTTAATTGTCTATTTTATCCTATTGCATAATTACTATTAATTACAAAATGAAATTAATAATAAAACTCAAATTTATCAATAAACCTAAATACTATAATTAAACCCTACGATCGCTCTTTGTTTATCCTACGTTCATTTTGGCTAAAATCCTAATGGGCTTCAATGCTTTAACATGTACATTCTTAAAATTTTATGTACTAAACTAGTATTTACGATTTAAAAGGGTGAAGGGTTGTGGGAATTTGCAGCTAAATTAGAAGGTTGAACTAGACATGTATCATTTAATTCTTTCGAATTTCGAAATGTGTAATTGTTTGTTAATGCTTTTGTCAAGTTTGTTTCTTCTCTGTGTTCTTGGTTTAGTGGTTGAATAGGATTATAGGACTGATGAGAACTGAACTCAGTTTGCTGTCTGCAGATGTGGGTTAGACTAGTTGGTTGGGGCAGTGCGTCCACCTCCTTGTACCTAAGTTCAAATCTCCTCCCTGTAGATTATAGTAGTTTTAGATATATGGTTTGTTTCTGGCTCTGGTTTTGATCATAGGCTCACAGTTGCTGTTATTGGAATCGGTTTTGTTGAAAAAAAATTATTATTTCTGGCTTAAGAAAGCAGAACTGGAGACATGCATGCTTGTTTTGTATGAGTTCAATTTCAAGGCGGAAGAAGAAGAAGAAGAAAATAGTGTAATGAATCAATCTTAAGACTTTGTTTTAAAGAAAGAAATTGTTATTAGCACTCAAAAAATCTCATTCTACACTTCTCGCAAGTGTATTTTTCTTTCTAATTATAGAAAGTTTGGAGTGTCAAATGAGATTATTTGAGTGCTAATAACAATTTCCTTAAAGAAATGGTGTTCAATATTCATCTCTCAGCTTGAAGAGATCATGATTGGAGCATTTACTTGCCAAAATTCAATGGTTCTCTAACCTAACTCGGGAGAGACCAACAGTTATGGGTGTAAAAATAAATCCACATTTCAAATTGGGTTTATGGGGGTATATTAGGTAGTAAATTAGGGTTTAAAGAGATATTAATAGTTTAGTTAAAAATCAAATGGGTGCAAAGAGTAAGTTGAGTGTAGAAATATGTTACATGAGTTTAAATAAAATTTTCCAAGATAAAATTATATTATTTTGCAGAAACTAGTGTGGAGGAGTTGAGCAGTTGATTGTTGGATAACAGGGGCAGTGCGATGAAAATTAGGGCGGGAAGGTTGTAAGAAACAGTTGGCGGCAGGGCAGGAAACAAGGCAGGAGGAGCGGGCGTGCGTCGTACAATCTTATCCCCAAAATCATGAAAAGCGTATGGAGTTCAGACTAATACGGTTACATTACATCACTAAAAGACACACACACACACACACACTTCACACCATCTCAACATTCACTTTTTTTATGTTCTTTTCCACTCAAGCTAAGACACCCCAAAAAGAAGTATACTAGCATGCAAAATCTCGTTTATTTTTTGTTTTTGATTTTATAAAGATGATAATTGAAAGACATTTTTAAATAGGGAAGGAGGGAGGGGGTGGCTACCTCCTGGAGCTTCGATCAACCATTTACTGGTCAATTATATCATGAGGACCACCACCGTATATTACGCAGCAACATAATGTTGAAATTATATCCTTAACGGATCAAAGATATTAGGAGTGTATAAATAAAAAAAATGATGTGTATGAATCAATTTTCATTATTATATAGCTATGAAATTTACCAAAGTAAACTGTTATTTTTGTCATAGTAAAGTAGAGAATTTTACTCCTGAGAAATCTACGCACATTGATGATTGGGTGATAATGAAGCAAGTTTGAACCAACTAATTTTCTTTTAATAATATTTTCCCTTCCATTGTAAAAGAACTCTAAAATTCATATCTTTCTTCGTGTTGATAAACTAGAGATATGCAATTTGAACTATTACAGTTACAAAAATGTGTGAGCTTAATTTGAAATTTGTCTTAAATTCGAACCCTCCTTCACTTTGATAAAACTAAGATATAATATATGAACTATCACAGTAACAAAAACGTGCGTGAAGAGAAACATCTCTTTTTTATGACTTCCACTTATCGATCCCGGCCCGTTAAAGTGACCGATTGGGGCCCTATTGATGAAGTTTATGTAGAATGATAAATTTAAATGTGTCTGACCGTTAAAGAATATTAGTGTGGACGATTGATTCTAGCAAATTCTTCACCTCATGTCTATGCTCAATCGACCAATAAAAGACACTAATTTACGAAGCGCGAAAAATTTAAATACATATGACACTTAGAGCTATATGAGCGCACACGATTGATAGTTGCAATTTTTTTTCCCTATTACTCAATTGATCAATGAAAGACGTGAGGGCGCTGACTGCGGCTCTCAATAAACATAAAAATGTGGGAGGTTCCGAGTTCGATGCTCTGAATTGTTGAGTCTGCTTGAGTGTGGCGATAGGTAGAGTGAAATTCCCATAACCTTTCCGGACCTGTAAGGAATAGATAGTTTGCCATTAGTTGCTCCTTTTTTTTTTAAAAAAAAAAAACCGAAAGGGGTGAGGATTTTCTTTTGTGCCAACAAAGTTATGTGACAAAATTTATTTACCAAAAAAGTATTATTGCTTGAGAGCTGGGAATGTGAATTCAAACACACAAAACCAAACAAGCAATGAATAGAACTGCAATTTCCCCATCCCACAGCATAACTCCAATCCTGCAAATTTGAAAGAAACTGAAGCTCATAGACTTCAAATTTCAAAAAAGAAAAAAATAAATAACAAGAGATAAAAACAAAAGCAGTTTTTGTCCCAAACAAAACTTCCCCATCAATTCACCCTGAAAAATTCCAAAACCCTAATGCAGAAACCCAACTCAGCTGCCACTCTGCACCAGCAGCTCCCCTTTAAAGCCCCCTCTCTCTCCTCCCTCAAATGCTTCATTTTAAGCCTTCAACTTTTTCTATCTCTAGACCCCAATTTGATTCCCCAAAGCCCAATTTCCAGCTCCCAAAAAGCTTTCACCTTTACCCTTCAAATCTCTCAATCCAATGAATCACAGCAACCCAAATAAATAGATTTGAGTCAGACCCTGTGAAAATCACAAACCCAATTCCCAAAAATCAAACACAGTCCAAAAGCCTTTTGCTTTACCATGATGAATTCCGTAGACATTCACCCACTCATCGGGTACTCAATCGGCGACGAGCTCCTCCAAAGCCGGCGGCTCATGCGCCACGGCCCGCCACCGTTGCGGGGCGCGATGCGGCTCTTTCGGCGCGCCAGCGGGCGCCGAATGAGACTGCGGGACCCGTCGGTTAGGGTCCGGGAGAACGCGGCGGAGGAGCTGGAAGAGAGGCAGAGCTTCTGGTTTCACTCGAAGCCCGCCATAATTCTGGACCTGCTGTGGAATTTGGTTTTTGTGATTGTTGGGTTCACTGTGCTGGGGCTGAGTGTGGAGGAGAAGCCATTGGTGCCTATGAGGATTTGGGTTGTTGGGTACATTTTGCTGTGTGTTGTTCATGTTGGGTGCGTGGTTGCGGCGTATTGGAGGAGGGGCGAGGCGGGTTGGGGGAGTGGTGGGAGTGAGAGTTTGGTGTCAGGGAGTAATGTTGGAGGTTATGGGGGTGAGCATGGTTTGGCTGATGATACAAGGTAAAGCAATCTTGGAGATAATATTAATAGTTATTCTTGCTTTTAGGAATTAGGACTAAAAGTACACTGATCAATATTTTTATGATGTAAAAGTATGAATCTTGATTCAAATGTTGCATCTATGTTCAATTTGTTTTGAAGTATGCATTAATGCAGGGGTTGTGATACTGTTCTATGGAATGATGTATAGGAACTTTTGTGTTTGTCGGTTTAGTTCAACGGACATGGAAAATATGGTTTCTAAGTTTCACCATACGAGGATGAGCGTTTTTCGAATTGTGGGGTTGTGATGCTGTTCGTATATAGTTCCACATTTGTCAAGCTTTTAGCTTTTCTTCCTATTACAATTCTTTTCTTTATTTAGATATGAACAATTGAGCAGGGTATGCATTCTGTGATGTCCTTTTTCTCATATCTGAATTCAGTCCTTTTTCATTTGTTTTTGTTGTGAGTATGAAGTGGTAACTTGAATGTGAGTAATGGTTGGCATTTGTTGTGAATGTGATATTCTCCGCATAAAGCTAATCTTGTGTGGCCGTATGCCATGAAGTATATTTAACTATCTCCATTTGTTGTGCAACAGTATCACCAAAAATCTGGAGTCGGCTAATAGCATGTTTTCATTTATTTGGTGGGTCATTGGCTTCTACTGGGTGCTTAATGGTGGCCAGGCTTTGCTATCTAGTTCACCTCGCCTTTACTGGTTAGGATTGTACTGTTTTTACTCTGAAGTGGTTTCTTTTGAGTGATTGTCTTGAATGCTTGTGTGTGCGCACGCGTGTTTTAACTATTTACACACTGCTCTTTTTATGCAGGCTCTGTGTTTCATTTCTAGTTTTTGATGTTGCCTTCATCATTGTATGTGTTGCTGCTTCCTGTCTCGTTGGAATTGCAGTCTGCTGCTTTCTGCCATGCATAATAGCAATCTTATATGCGGTGACAGATCAGGTATACCTCCATAAGGATTGTATGCAAGCTTTAGTTTATTGTCTAGAAAGTGGTAGCTTCATATAATCTTTCCTCTGATCATGTGACATGAGATAAATTAAAAAAATTAGCTCTCATCTAAGCTTAGGATCTAACGGAAGACGTGGCACAGAACGGAGCGCAATGGCGTTCTAGGATTCATACAACGGACCCCGCTTAGTGGGAAATGGCTTTGTTGTTGTTGTAACTCTCATCTAAGCTTAAAATACACGGTGTACATGATCATATATCTCTACATATAGAAAAAAAAATGATATAGCATATTCAGTAATGATAAGCAAATTTAGATCTCTTTGATGCACGTGGCATGCACATTATGCACAAATATGGAAATATGCGAATGGAAACAGATGATACTTGACTATGCGGCGATAGGCTAATGGGCTAATAGCTTTACCGGTCATTGTTGTGTTTAGTATGTTTGTCGTTTCTTGTATTATTAGACAGAGTGAGGAAGCATCTGTAGTACTAAATGGAGATGTATAGGCACATTTAGATCTCATGTTCCAGTGGAAGTTGTATTTGGGCTGTAAAACCAACAACTAGCCGACAAACGAATATAGCTGCAAATTTGTATCTGTTTTGCATCGTGCTCTGGCGGGCCCAAAACAAGTGTGAGAATGAGTCAAACACGTGAAGAGAGTGGAAAGATGAAGTGCAGTAATTACTTTCTTGCTTTAACCTTAAACCGTTGAGATTAAATTCCCAAATTTATATTTCATAAGTGCATCCAACTAACTGGAGTGAGATTCTCTATCGTCTGCCGGAGATTTTAGATGTAATTACATCCCAAATTACATCTCCCCCTTGGAGATGCTCTGATACATGTGAAGGCTGCTGACTCCTTTAATCCCATTTGATATTTATAATGAATGCTCAACTGTTAGTGAATTCAGTTCTCCTTGATTTTCATCGTGAACCAGATGTGAACTCCCTTTTTAATGTTGAAGCATTAGATCTCATGCTTCCTATTTTATGCCGAAGTTTGAGTTTTATATGGGCCATCCAAATGCCATGTGACGTTCTGGATTGAAGAATCAATCCTTTCCTTTTTCTGTAGAACCTATTAATTTTGCATGAGGTAGTAAACTCTATATTAATGAAGGGCAAAAACAATGAAAGAAGTTTTGGATTCTTGATTACACTTCAATCATATACGCTTATATGACTCAACTTCATACGACTTGTGCATGAAACAGGATGGGGCAACAGATGAGGAGATTGATAGATTGCCAAAGTTCAAATTCAGAAGGGTAAGTAACACGGAGAAAGTCAATGGTGAGGTCCAAGTTTCTGAAGGATTCATGACCGAATGTGACACCAATGCACAAAACGATCATCCTATTTCCCAGGCTGATGCTGTAAGTTCTCGTGCCATTATACTTAATAGTTGTTTTCAGTTATGTCTAATATGCGCGCAACTGATCATTTGATGTTTGATTTAGCAAATCATCGATGTGAAAAAGTATATGACTAGACGGCCATGGCTGCGTTGATGTGAATGTGTTTGGTAAATTGCAGGAATGCTGCATCTGCCTTTCTGTGTACGAGAATGGAGCAGAACTACGCCAACTTCCTTGCCAGCATCATTTTCACTGCACTTGCATAGACAAATGGTTACATATCAATGCTACCTGCCCTATGTGCAAGTTCAACATTTTAAGGCCTCGTGGCCGACATGAAATCGGACAAGTGTGAACGGGAACGGAATCAAATATGTCGATATTAGGGAAACCAAAATCGATATATTATGTAAAGTTAGTGTAAACTAACTTGTAATGCTAAATAAGAAAATATAATAGATGGTTACTATGCTTAATTAATGTGTGGGGGATTATATTTCATGAAGTATTCGGCATTCAGAAAGAAGATTTAGGGTAAACTAGACATTTTCATTTTTAAAACCAAATTGAACTGGTCCATAAGTTTTAGTGAAATTAAGGTGCGTTTGTTATACTATACTATTTTGGACTCTATTAGTTTGAGGGACTAAATTGGACTGACTTAGAATAGATTAAATTGGATTAACTTAATAGAGTGTTTGGTAGAGTATCGGACTAAGAAGCAAGATAATAAAAAGAATAAAAATTAATTCTTTTTTTTTCCTTTCATTTTTCTACTTTTTCCTGTCCTAGAACACTCCTTGGAAACCTCTCTCTTTCCTCTCCCTTTTTTGAGTCCAAATTTCATAGCTTCCAACCAGAGCTTTCTCCTTCATTTCAATTGATAAAGCTCTCTGTCCAAATTCCTCAACTTCCAACCGTAGCTTTCTCCTCCATTTGATTCGAGAAAGCTCCCAAAACACAGACAATAAAAAATTCAATCAAGATCGAAATCGAACTCGCAGTTGGATTCCTTGTATACCCTACGACGACACTCTGATTCTGGTCCCGATTTGAGTCTGGGTCGCGAACCAGGACCGACCAGTCAAGAATCTCTCCTCAAGTCTGGGTCACACAGATTGGCGTCGACATTGAGTAGGAAGAGGAGAGAGGGAGAGGACGTGATTTTGGGTTCGGGGTGAGGAGTGAGGGAGAGGACATGGGCAACAGTGAGAGAATGAGAGCAGTGGAGAGGATGCGAGAACAAAGAGAGGCGTCTTAGCTAGTCCCATAGTTTGGGTTTTTTTTTGTTTGGGGGGGGGGGGCGCATGCTAGGACATGCTAGCAACATTGTTAGTCGAGGCCAGTCCTCCTTAGTACCACTAAATTACTCCCTCAAGTGAACAAATATGGATTACACTAATCTTTTATCCAATTCAGTCCAGTGAGAGCTAAGGAAGGCAAACAAACACCCCCTTAGAGCTTTGGTTCATTAATTAAAAATTTATGAGTATTGATTTTTGAATTTGTCACAAGGCAATGCAACGCAATGGTTCATTTGGGTAATTTTGTTAGGTTGTGGTAGAATAAACTAGAAAGTGGTAGATTGGCTTAGTGTTAGGTTTTTCAGTAACATGTTTCTCCCAATCACTAATTAATCAAGTCAAAGGTGGTCGAGTGGTGTGCGTTACTCGACCGCTGCCGCTGTCATCTGTTTCAAATATCACATTAACGTTTCCGTATCTTCTTCTGCGTAAATTGGTTTAGTATTATATAATAAGAGAGAAAGAACCGGTATATGAGATCAATCTAATTCCTCGTTTTCGTTTACCAGATCAAGCATCCAAGAATGGATAATATAGAATTACAATCACAATAATATATTGAGAAATTTTCTTTTAATCAAAATAAAAACAATCATGTATTGTAACAATGAATTGAATGGTTGCATCAAATTTCCTACAAGAACACAAAACACGTTGAGTTTGCATTCTCCTTAACCAAAAGCCTAAACCTTCTAATATTTATGCACAAAATAGTGTGACTTGGGTCTTCAATAATTTTTCTGATAGACACCATACCAAATCGGAACTCCGGTCACAACGCTGCTACCAAAACTTTTGTTCCCAGCAGCCGGAAACTCCATTGTCGAGTGCAGTGGATGATCCAGGATTTTAACTTAGGGTGGTCCCAATATAAAAGCTCAAAAAAAAAAAAAAAAAGACGAAAACATCATTGAACAAATAAATGGCAAACTACAATTTTCATTCATAATCTTTGTGCTAAACAAGCTAGAAATACTAAATTTGTCCACAACGAATATTATACTTTGAAAACGTGTCATGATAGTTTCATTGTCAATACAAGAAAAAAAAACATCTTTCTCAACGTAAACAACTAAGATATCTTTCTCAATGTAAACAAATATGTATGAACTAAAAACCCCTGACTGTAAGTTTGTAACACAATCTTCAACAAAAAAAAAAAAAAAAAAACCTATAACACAATCCAAGTAACATCAGAAAATCCTAGCGAATGAACACTAAATATGTATGAACTAACACTAAAATAAATATGAAAATATCATTTGCAAGATTCATTGTTCGGCCCCTTTGTTTTAATTAGTGTTCTTTAAAGAAAAAAAAAACCTAATCCTAACAATAATTTTGTATCAACTAACACTAAAAATAAGTAAGAACTAACACCAAATTAGAAAACTTAAAGAAATGTGGGAGCAAAGACGGAAGTTGAACGGGGAGCAGAGAGCAGAAATTGCTATGGAGGGCACGAATGTTCATTCTGTGAAATGGTCTGCGTCTGAATAAAATCATCGACAAAATCACGATTTGAATACCAAGATATTGAAAACAAAGCAAATAAAAAAGTTGAGGTTACCTGGGTACCGTGGTTGCATGAGTGAGGATTCCTCCTTACGTTTGAAAACTTACAAATAATTTGGTATTATTGGTAAATTAAAGTTGACTGAAACCACTATTCTAGAAAAGATGGTGATTGGTGAGTCTGACTTCTATAAAGAATAAAAGATGGTGACTAGTCAGGCTCTATCACGTGAAGGTGAGGAGTTTTTAAATTTTTTTAATAACTTGGCTCAAAAAAACGTCGTTTCGGCCAAGTTATTTAAAAAAAAAAAAATTAGCTTTATTCTTCTCCTTCTATTTTGCACAACATGCAGCAGCCATGGCTGCTGTTCTTCTCCACTACTGCCCAAATTTGGGTGGTCCTTGAAGATCCTCATAATCATTTATCCAAGCTTTTGGGTGGTCCTGGGACCACCCTGGTCCTTTAATAGATCCGCCCTTGGTTGAGTGAGACCCCGTTGAACTTGCATAAACGTACATCTTTTGAGCCTTCATACTCACAGAAATATTAATAATCCCATTCCTCTCCCCATTGTGATCTCTCAGCCTGTAACTCAACAAATGCAGGTAACCCTCCGGCACGTACCCGCCAACAAAATCTGTCGCCGGAATGATCGCCGTCCCGATCGTCCTGATGCTGGACAAAGTCTTGCATTGGACCTCCACTGTGATGGACTTCGAGTGCTTTGGCAAGTCGAGCACGAGCTTTTCATTCCACCGTGGGTAGGCGCCGCCTTTAGTGTCCATGTCCGTGGTGCGAAACTGGCTGTTGGTGTCGGCCCGAACTGTCACGGAGGCTTTTTTCTTGATGGGTTTTCGATCTAATTGTAGGTTCTTGGCGGAGATCACCTTGATTTCGAGCGTCTAGGAATTGGTTGCCATGTTGGATGAAAAGTACGCGTGTTTGATGAACTGCTTGTGTTAGGGATGAAAGAGGTGCGGGTAGGAGGTTATATAAGAATGTTGAGGGAAGGGTGTGAGAAATGAGAGAGACAATTCCTATGTACCCAATGTGTGTTATTCGACTCCCGGATGGTTTGTGCAAGGATATTGATGCGGCAGTGGTGAGGTTTTGGTGGGCGGGGGCTGATAAGGATCATGGGTGACACTGGATCAATTGGAAGGACATGGGGTTGCCGAAGAGGGAGGGAGGTATGGGGTTCCGTAATCTTAAAGACTTTAACCTTGCCTTGCTAGCCAAACAATGTTGGCGTTTGATTCATGATCCTGATTCTCTATGGGCGTGGGTTTTAAAGGTGAGGTATTTTCCAAATGTTTCTTTCCTGGATGCTAAAAAAGGTGGTAGGGCCTTTTGGGCGTGGGTGAGTCTTTTAGAAGGAAGGGATCTCATCTTAAATGGTGCCAGATGGCAGATTATGGGAGGACAAGAGGTTAGATTTTGGATGGACAATTGGGTCTCAGACATACCAGCAGGGCAACCCACCCCTCCCATGCTCGCGGATGTTAACATGAATGTAAGGTTGCAGAGTTTATTGATCCGGTCTTGAGGGAGTGGAATTTAGATCTGCTATCGAATTTTGTCCCAGAATCTGAGCGTGAGGCTATCTCTCAAATTAACATGGGGCCACTTATGAAACCGGATAAACTTGTCTGGCTTTTTGAAATGAATGGTTCTTATTTTGTAAGTCTGGTTATAAGTGGTGTCATAACTGCCTACCCCTTATGAATCATGATCGCCATTCTTCTTCCCACAGTATTGATTCTCGGGTGTGGGCTTGGACTTGGAGTTGTAAAGCCCCCCAAAAATGACGAACTTCGTATGGAAGGCTTTCCGTAATGCTTGCGCCACCGAGTTTAATCTTTTCTGTCATTGGTGTGACTTGTCCCCCCTTTGTCCCATTTGTGCTGAAAGTGAAGAAACCATGAAGCATGTGCTCCTTTTGTGCCCATGGGCTTTCAGGGTGTGGTCTGGGGGTCCTCTAATCGAAGCTCTTGCACAACTTTGGCTGAGTGGTTGTGCTTGGTTGTCAATCAATATTTGGAATGTAAGGAGAATTTAGATCATATTTTGTCGCACGTAGTCTTTTCGTGTTGGTTCATTTGGAGGGCATATTGCGATGCTATTTTTAATGAGCTCAATCATTATTCTTTCATAACTTTGCTGGCTATTGCCACTGCCCTAGTTTCCTTTCAAGAGGCTTCCACCCCTCGGAGCTTGTTGGCCTTTGACAGTACCAGTCATTCTAAAGGTATGCATCGACCATCTCTATGGTCTCCTCCCCCTATCAATTGGATTAAGCTTAATGTTAATGCTTGTTGGAAGTGAGACTTTTTATGTGGTTATATCGCGGTTGTTGCCAGAGACTGGGTCTCGGGCTACAAAGTGGTGAAATGTGTGAGGGTGCATGCTTTTTCGGCTGCGATGGTGGAGGCTCTAACTATTCTGGAAGGTTGCTTACTGGCGAAAAATTTACATATGCAGGATGTGGTACTTGAATAAGATGCATAGGCTATTATTCAGTACCTTAATTCCCATTCTCTGAGTTGTGATTGGGACCTGCTCTTAATCCTTTCCCATGCTTTGGAGGTTGGGAAGAGCTTTCAATCATGCTCCTGGTCGTGGACTCCATGAACAGCAAATATGTCGGCGGATTTTGTTATGAGGAATATTTCTTCGGAGATGTGCGGCTTAGGCTGGGTTGTGACACCTCCATCTTTGCTTGTGGGTATTTTGAACAAAGACGATCTTCCATGTCTTCCTTTGTAGGGGGAAGTTTTTTTTTGTCTCGGGTAATTAGGATGATGTTGGTGACCTGTGTGGTGGCGTCTATTTGTGTCTTGTTTATCTATGCTTCTGTTATTTGGGTGTGTTGGACAACCCTCTGCTTGTTGTTTGGCCTTGTGCCTTGCTGGTTTTATGAACCGTTCTTTCAACCAACCAAAAAAAAAAAAAAAAACACCCACCTGGTTTCTGTGGAATCCAAATTGGATGATGAAATACAATACGTGCCGAATTTGGAATGGATGGGAAAATGCGTGGGAGAAGTGTAATTTACTTTCCTAGTCAGGGGTTTCCAAGTTGACTCTTGGGCCTTTAATTGAGTTTCACTTTTCTTAGAGAAACTTCCATGTAATAGGATTCATAGTGAGAGAAACTTTCAAGCAATTAGTTCTTACAATTTAAGGAAATAGACAAAAATGAGCAATTTTCTGAATCTTTGGATTAAGATAAGACAAATCAGTCACGCATAAGTCATGTAACCATGCACAAGTCGTGCACACCATGAAGGGATAAGAGGAGTGAGGGGAGGGAGGGGCATAATGCCCATCCATAGTATGATTACCAAATTGAAGGGATAAGAAGAGCTCATGAGTGAAGGGATTTTCCAGAAAATAGCAGAGGCAATGGATTATGAATGGATCCCATTTCAAGAGAGAGAGGTGACTAGGGTTTGTGCAGAGGTGTGGGTTTTGGGAAGAGAGATTTTCGGAGAAATGTGCAAACGGTGATTGGGTTAGAGGAAACAATCTATTTATATACGAGGGTAACTAGGTTATTTTAAGGTGTAGGAAAAATCTTATTTCTATCATATTGTTGAGCATGCCGTGTGCATACTCTGTGCATTTCCGTAAAATCTGATTTTGATCCTAGGATTAAGAAAATGGGTCATTTTTGTCAATTTTCCTATAATTTATTGTGGAGTTAAAACTTTCTAAAAATATGGATTATCTCTACTTCTTATTTTTCAATAATCACGTGGAGAAATTTTTTGGTACGGTTGTTACACATGAAAGTGTTGTCGCAATACATGTAATTATTATTCTATCTTTCTTATCCTCGTGTGGATAAGTTCTTCTACATAAATATAACATATGTATAGTATGAATACAGTGACGTTGTAGCGTCCATATGATAGATACACACATTCACACATCTCTCTTCACCACTTGACTTATCACGTGTGTGGAACTATGATTTTTTGGGGCCGGAGTAAGTCTGATCTGCATACAATCATTTCAGAAGTCCAGTCATGGATTCACCAGCTTCGAGCAGAGCTGTATCAAATAGAGTAGTGGTGCCACCATCACTCTACTCTGGGACACTAGGTAGAGTCCTAGCGACTCCGCTAAATGACCATGCTTGGTTTGCAAGACATGCGATCTAATTTGGATATGGACACAATCAGATCCTATAAGTCTTGGACTTTTTACAATGTAGGAATTGACGCTCCTTAGCTATAACGTTCCAGAGTCATGCAGAATAGACACTAACCATCCTTGTGCGCCACAAATAATCACAACTCGTAAGGGGGTGTAATATCTACATCTAGATATCCTTTAGGATTCTTCTAGCTTAGAGTGAGGATTCTATCGTAAAAAGATCTTTCTCCCTACGGTATAAATACACCCATCTAGGGTTCATCTATGGTCACGTAACCTAAACACTTGAATTCTCTTGCCCACTGCTTGAGTTTAAAATCATTCACTAACTTGACCTCCGTAGAGCCTTTCGCCGGTGCATCCCTTGGTCTTAAGCTTGACTTTACCACCACTCACGGAGGTGCGCAAATTCAATTCCAACAATTGATGCGTTCATTGAGAGTGAACTCATATTCCTCTCGGTCAGATCACTTTGCCGATTGACATGTCAGAAAACTCAGTCAATCATATCGGCTTCGCTGCCTCTCAGAGCAATACCCATGAGCGGTACGATGGCGTCGCCGCCTTTGATGAGATGTGGAAAGACGTCATGGAAATTTGTTTGTCTCTAGAAGGCGTCTGACAAAGCCCTCTGGCTAGAGAACCTGCTAGACTCGCCGACGTAAAGGCACATGTCAAAAATGTCAAGGAAACTGTTACTTGCTTCAAAGAATTAGCTGCCCAGAAGACGGAGGTAATCGATTTAATGTCAGAAGAATCATCTCAACGCCCTGTCCCCAAGGGGCATCCCATAAAATTCCGAAGGCTACGGGGTCTCCCCCTTTTTCAATGTTCGGGGGCAGAAGCATCCATTGAGGTAAGCTGTACACACGGCGAGCAGGAATATCTGGGAAACACCCGAAAAGAAAGAAGGTTCGCTTACAAGAAACCAAGAATGGTGGCTGCCATCAATAAACCACTGGCAATCGATTCCAACTTCCTGATGTATAATATGGTGATTTGGAAGACATCTGTACGCCTCATGACGACGCCATCATCGGCAAGGTATAATTCTCAACACCCTGGTAAGCAGCGTTCTGGTCAACAATTGCTCAGGAGTTAGCGTTCTGGTAAACCAAGAATTGTGGAGTTGTTATGCTGTTCGTATATAGTTCCACATTCGGCAAGCCCTTAGCTGTTCTTTCTTATTACAATTATTTTCATTTTATATAGATATGTACAATTGAGCAGTGTGTGCGTTCTATGATGTCCTTTATCTCATATCTGAATTCAGTCCCCTTTCATTTTTTTTTTGTGAGTAATGGTTGGCATTTGTTGTGAATGTGATATTCTCCGCATAAAGCTAATCTTGTGTGGCCGTATGCCATGAAGTATATTTAACTATCTCCATTTTTTGTGCAACAGTATCACCAAGAATCTGGAGTCTGCCAATAGCATGTTTTCATTTATTTGGTGGGTCATTGGCTTCTACTGGGTACTTAATGGTGGCCAGACTTTGCTATCTAGTTCACCTCGCCTTTACTGGTTAGGATTGAACTATTTTTACTCTGAAGTGGTTTCTTTTGAGTCATTGTCTTGAATGTGTGCGTGCGTGATTGCACGTGTTTTAACTATTTACAAGCAGCTCTTTTTTTGCTGGCTCTGTGTTTCATTTCTGGTCTTTGATGTTGCCTTCATCATTGTATGCGTTTCTGCTTCTTGTCTCGTTGGAATTGCAGTCTGCTGCTTTCGGGCATGCATAAGAGCAATCTTATATGCGGTGACAGATCAGGTATACCTCCATAAGGATTGTATGCAAGCTTTAGTTTATTGTCTAGATAGTGGTAGCTTCATATAATCTTTCCTCTGATCATGTGACATGAGATAAATTAAAAAAATTAGCTCTCATCTAAGCTTAAAATACATGGTTTACGTGATATATATGATATAGCTCTACGTATAGAAAAAAAAACAAAATGACATAGCATAGCATATTCAGTAATAATAGGCAAGTTAATAGATCTCCTCGATGCACGTGTCATGCGCATAATGCACAAATATGGAAGCAAGTGAATGGAAACCGATGATACATGACTATGGGGCGATTGGCTAATAGGCTAATAGCTTTACCAGTCGTTGTGTTCTGTATGTTTGTGGTTTCTTGTATTATTTGACAAAGTGAGGGAGCATCTCCAGTACTAAATGGAGATGTATAGGCACATTTAGATCTCATGTTCCAGTGGAAGTTGTATTTGGGTTGTAAAACCAACAACTAGCCGACAAGCGTATGTATAGCCACAAATTTGTATCTGTTTTGCTTCGTGCTTTGGCGGGCCCAAAACAAGTGCGAGAATGAGTGAACCACGTGAAGAAAGTGGGAAGATGAAGTGCAGTAATTACTTTCTTGCTTCAACACTAAACCGTTGAGATTAAATTCCTAAATTTACATTTCATAACTGCATCCAACTAACTGGAGTGAGATTCTCCGAAGATTTGAGATGTAATTACATCCCAAATTACATCTCCCCCTTGGAGATGCTCTGATACATGTGAAGGCTGCTGACTCATTTAATCCCATTTGATATTTATAATGAATGCTTAACTGTTGGTGAATTCAGTTCTCCTTGATTTTCATCGTGAACCAGATGTGAACTCCCTTTTTGATGTTGAAACATTAGATCTCATGGTTCCTATTTTATGCCGAAGTTTGAGTTTTATACGGGCCATCCAAATACCATGTGACGTTCTGGATTGAAGAATCAATCATTTCCTTTTTCTGTAGAACCTATTAATTGTGCATGAGGTAGTAAGCTCTATATTAATGAAGGGCCAAAAAAATGAAAGAAGTTATGGATTCTTGATTACACTTCTATCATATACGCTGATATGACTTGTCTTCATACGATTTGTGCATGAAACAGGACGGGGCAACATATGAAGAGATTGATAGATTGCCAAAGTTCAAATTCAGAAGGGTAAGTAACTCGGAGAAAGTCAATGGTGAGGTCCAAGCTTCTGAAGGATTCATGACCGAATGTGACACCAATGCACCAACCGATCATCCTATTTCCCAGGCTGATGCTGTAAGTTCTCTTGTGCCTTTATACTTACAGTTGTATTTGGTTATGTCTAATATGCACGCAAGTGATCATTAAAAAGTATATGACTAGACTGCCGCGGCCGTGTTGACATGAATGTTTTTGGTAAATTGCAGGAATGCTGCGTCTGCCTTTCTGTGTACAAGAATGGAGCAGAGCTAAGCCAACATCCTTGCCAGCATCATTTTCACTGCACTCATAGCACAAAATAGGATTTACATATCACATGCCTACCTGCCACAATATGTGCTAGAAAGTCAAAAAGCCACGCCAACCTGGCCTTCAACCATCTGGTGAAAAGCCCTGTACCGACAGGTGAATTGCGGACTAACCTCAGGGGTCGACCGGTAACGCGTGAATCCCAATAATATTCTCTCGATTTATTAATGGAAACACCAAAATACTCGAAGGTAGAATATTATGGCATAAAGTTAGATAGACTCATAAAGCTACACTATCTTAAGTAATGTTCTAAATTAACTGAACAAAGCCCACTCGTACTCAGAATGGGCGTCTCCAGTTGATGCGCGTCTAATATACATGCGAGTCTCGGGTGACTATATCTTTGTAGAAAATAACGTGTAAGCAATGGCCTCCGATGTCAACCTGGTACAAATCTCAATCCTGAGACACCACGAGCCCTGGAGGAACATTACGAACATAAAACTAAAATTCGTAATGATCATTGCGCTACCCTTTCTTAAACCAGTCACTAAACAAGCAGATGGTTCATGTCATTCATTAAACACTTTTGTCAAAAATGATACATTTCATATTTAATGGTTATACATGATCTACTGCCATACAAGTTGGTTAAAGTTTCGAGGCTTTGTCTTATTATTTCTGATTGACAATATTTTTCATGTTCTGATTTTTCACTATTATTGTACTATGAATAGTCTTCTCTGTTATATTGTGACTGTCAAGTGATTGTTTTATTCGTTTGTAGTTGGATTTGATTTAGGTAATACGTGTGAGTCTCAATAGTTGCAAACGAAATTAAAAGAAAAATAGGCACAAGCTTGGTATATAGATGTCTCACGTAGTTGATGACGTATAAATATGGACCATCAAAACTGCCTGTGCACGATCAGCCTGATCTTTTGGAAGCAAGTCGAAAGCTAAGCCTTAAATATGAGGAATATTGGTTCAGAGTAGGAATTTTTAGATTTGACGGCACCTGCCCTTTATTATGTTTGGAAATCTTGCCCCAATAGTTAGAAGTTTCGATGATTTTCTAGTAAAGTGCTATGCTTTACTACGAATTGTTTCCAATCATCATATTTTCTCATTAGAGAGAAGTAAGTAGTAGGTTATGGTATTTTAATACACATGAAAAATGAGTTACTCATGGGATTTAGCGATCGCCCTATGTTCATTTAAAAGCAGATTGGATTGGTATTCCTTAAGTTAAATCTGTCATAGAGGAAATGACAGAATCAATCGCCTCTCAAATAATTATACAAACTCCTAATGAGTGAGATTGATTCGCCGTCTCTCTGAAACATTGTCAGCGAAAAACAAGTCTAATGTCTTGCAACTACCTTCTGTCATCTTTGGGTAATTCTGTTAAAAATTTTCATTCAATTAATTCATGATTCGCATATTAAACTACGTGAGGTGAAACAATATGAAAAGAGAAAATGGAAAAGAAGTACAAGGATTCAGTGGGCTGAATTGAATCTAGTCTCCTCATTGCATTTTTGTGTTCCATTATAAATATCTCTATAGACATGATAAGTCTTTAATGGATATTATGAAACGAAATCTCATATTTCTACTAACCATGTAATTCCTTCTCAATTACAGGTAGGTCATCTATCCACATCTATATAATGGGTTCCTTACGAAATAGGTTTGAGTTATGAGTTAAGTGGAGAAGAAAATGATGCAGCAACGGATCATTTAGGTCTATTTTAAATAAAAACGTACCATAGGACAGAGTTATAGAGTTGTGTACGACTTGAAAAGAGTGGAGTGAAGGATGAGAAAGGCCTTCGCGTGATCTGAGAAGTTTTTCCCGTTACGCTCTCGTGTCCTCTCCACCTCCACTAAACTGGTATCTAAATGGCTAGTCACATAAGCTTGTAACTTGTATGAGATGTGTTTAATATATATCTTTATATTTTTTTGTGTTTTCCTCTGCGTTTTCATCGACCACTATGCTCCCAACCAAATATCATCTAGGTGTGAACATTTAGAGCCCTTGTTATGTCTGACTGACCTGCTCTGGGTGTTGGATACTTATACAATATTAGTGAGCAAGTGTTAAGATTGTCTCCTAAAGCCAATAAACTTCTGAGTAGCTGCAAGTTGATTTTATTCGATTTTTCCTTATTTTTTTTTAGAATTATTTGCCGACTCAGATGTAGTGTTGTCGCCATATCAACAATACAAAATGCACTATTTTAAGAATCCTATACGTGTGGGTGCAGAAAATGAACTTAATATGAGAAGTAGTTCTTCATCCTTTACACTCTCTCTCACTTGTAATATCTCCGGCGTCTCATTCTTTTCCTATGTAGAGCAACTTTTCCCAACCTGACATTTTGGTGTGTGGTCGTTCGCTGTTCAATCCTAAATCTAAAAAGAGGTCTCTCTTTAGATCTAAAAGAGCTAATACTACAATAAACCTATAGCAGGTTCGGAGACGAAAATATACACCCCCCCTTGAATACTATCACTTACATCAATGAGATTTTATAGATTTTAAACATAATACAAACTTTACTCAACTTTATCTTTACCTTTGACCTAATCGATGATAAGTCATCAATACAGACTCACCTCAATCACTATATGTAATTTTAAATTTCCGCCTCATCTGCAGCTTGTTGATCTTTTAAGTGTTAGGAATAATCTAGTCCCACACATTTAAATCATGAGCATTTCTTAGCGGTTTGTATTCTGTGTGCAAATAGAACATGTCTCGCGAGTCACTCAATCGCAAAGCAAGATAACAACGAAGATAACATAACATAGCGACATAACATAAACAATTTTTTGGCCTGAAGATCTTTATGTCGTCGTAGAAGACATACATATAAGTAGGCTACTATTTAAATCTTACCCTATCCTCGAATATAGGTGATGAGAAGTGTTAAAGCTGAAAGAAATAGTAATACAATAATTTTTCTATTGCAATACATATTGATTGTGTTATAATTGCGTGAGTATTATAAGTATTGGAGTGAGTGCGGATTGTGCGCGTGAGAATTAGAGTGCGTGTGTGCGTGAGATTGGACTTGTGAATATAGAAATACATCATTAATAGTTAACGAGATGATTGCAAGTAATAATCTATCTCCTCTTATATGCAGCGACATGTCATCTCCAATTGAGCTAGCTTTCACGACTTAATAGAGTGGTGAGGCATTTCTATCCCACTCTCCACTTGCAAGTTAGAATAGGTACTTAGGTTCGAGTTCATGTATATCAAAACGAATATATGAACCATTATTAGGAGACAAAAATGACTCCCCAATAATCGGATGTGATCCCTAAAAGTTTTGTATAAGGACCCATTGGAGGCTACGTGTTACCCACCGCCATTCCCCTTATAATGTGTATAAATAGATCCCTTATCCGCATTATGGTATACAAAAAACCAAAACAAATAGCTTAATATGAGTAACATAATACTATAAATGTCCTCACACTTCTAATATAGATAAAATAACTATCCTACTTAAAATCATAAACGATGATATGACTTTTTACTGTTTATATGTTTTTAAACTTTTTTGTCAGAGCACATTTCAGTAGACGTGCAATATTTCCTTTGGAACCAAAAATTTCCTGTTAAGCCCTCAAATGAGTATTAAAGTAGTGGTGGAAGTCCCTAAATAGGACTTCAAGGAGATGCTCTTCTTACTATAAAAAGTACAATGACTAGAGAATGATGTGTAAAAACTAACAACAAATTAAACCATAAATTACGCATCGTAGTATGAGTAAGTAGGGTTCTATTCCGGATTAGAAGCGGATGCTAATCAACACAAATTAAACTTATAACTGAAAACTAAGTTAACTAACAACAAAATAAATCGACTAGGGATTTTGGATGAATTTTTAGTTAAAACAAAGTAAAGTTGCAGAAGTAAATGTGGGTTTGGTGAATGAAATATGAGAAACGATAGGCTAAAGATTCCTTCTCCCACACAAAACATATGATACAACTCCAATTTTTTCAGTATTTCTCTTAAAACCATGAATACAATGGCCCCAAATAAACCGGTGTATAGCTGGCTATCTACCTCTTCCACATTTAGTGAGCTTGATCCATATGAGCATTATCAAGGTTATCCACTGTGCAGACCGAAATAGTCCTAGATTAGACGTTGATTACTAAGTAATTAAGTTATTCTAACCAAATATCTTACCGCTCGTCAAGCACTGATAGGCAAAATATACAAAACTTGGAAAAACATCTCTCTCTACATAGTATTTAAAGACATAAGTTCGTATCAAAGTAAATCAACAATATTACTATGGTCTCCTCATTTTCTTACTCAATGTGCCTCTTCGGTCTTACTACCCTAGTTATCTTATTACAAGACATGATCTACTGCTTCCTTGCAGCAACAGTCTGTTAATAGGATAACTTCATTACGACCGGACGTCGAATCTCGGATCGCATGTAGAACATTTAGTTGCTTGTTCCGCCTCTGCCATGATTTACGTTTCTCCAATTGCATTCATAAGTTCATTCGATTGAGTTTGAAGGTTTGATAACATGATTCTTTGCGCTGCATATAGGTTCATTGGTGCTCGTTATAGATGTATCTTCAAACAGTGAAGGCTCAGTATCCTCGACCGAATAATCGCCGTGCATTTTATTCCTCGCTCCGTCACAATGTTCTTCCTCTGGGCAAGATCTCCCAACGTACCAACTGGAGATTTTACAAACTTGGAGGATTCACAAGAAAATTCTAAATATGATCGGAGTATGTACAAGTTGCATCAATCCATCCAGTCCATATTTATTACATACATCGCGATTAGATTCTAGCAAAGGCGCAATTACTCTCACATATATAAGACATATATTGTCCGTCAATGATGAAATTCACAAATACAGGGCTATAGTGAGACTCACACACACCCATTGAATCAATATAAGAGCCTCCGACCAATTTCACCTCTTAGCTTAACATAACCGGTCCTGTTGCGCCACTTTTATAGGAATGGCAGCTAGTCATTGCAAATGTTC